AGTCTGTTTCATGCCTAAATGCAAATGTCAGGCCTGATGATTGCATTTAACATAAAACAGACTGTCACCTCTGGGTGTTGACTTCAATGTCTACTTTTATATTTACATACACTCTATCTGTGATATTGAGCATTTAATCCATAAATATAGCATACCTTAAAACTATATTTTATCATATATAAAATGTATAACTTGTGTTTGTCCATGTGTTCTCCTTAATTATATTTCTGCTGACTTGTTTGTGTTCTTCTGTATTTAATGTTGATAATTTTTTTTCCATGCCAGTTCATGTGATTTCAATCAAAGATAAATCAATGCAGCACACTAAAACAGCATATGCCCCAATTCTTTATTGGAATAGCTGCAACAGCAATTCACAAATGCTGCCCAGAACCAAGCAATTAGATTCTCTGTTGCCCACACTAACCAACACGTGTCCTGTTGTCAATTTACTTGCAAAAATCACATGGTTTGCTTTTGAGTTTATCTCTGTTTTGACCAATCCAGCTTAAGCAAAACCAAAAAGTTTACTTTTTGTACAAACTTAGTGTTTGACATTGACCTAAAAGTGATGTTTCAAAGGAAAGTAATCCTTATTGGTAGCAGCAATAGCAGTTATAGTATGGCTTAGATTGTTATTACCTGGCAGGTGATGTAAAAATCTGTGATTTTTATATTTAAGCTGACACCTAATCTGCTATAAGAAAGCTTATAGTTGGGAGGTGCCCTGTGATTATGAAATATGAAAGCTTTTTAATGATTTTTTTTCTTCTCTCTCTCTCTCTCTCTCTCCATGTAGTTATTTATTCCTCTCAATGGTATTTTACTACTTAATATATATTTTATTGGTCACTATTTTTCTCTACTTCTAAATCAGATGATCATTGATATACATTGAACCATTTAAGCACTTTATATTAACTCTCATATCTACTTTCAGCCCAATACTGAATCACTGAATCTTGAAATTCATGGAATATATTATTTCTATACATATGCAATATTAATACAATTTTATAATTACCTACTAAATTTTAAATCCTCCTTTTTCCTTTTTTTTTTTTTTTTTTTCTAACAAAGTTGAAGAGAACAAGAGAAATAACCAACTCTTGTTTATAGAAGCAATTTGTTGAGGATTAGTTATTCTTCCCAGTTTTGCAGTACTGTGGTCTACCATAAAAGGACCATAAGGTGACTTAGGTATTGAAAAAAAACAATAATGATCTATACTGTTAAGTAGTAGTTACCTGATAAAAATCCATCAACCTACTGTGGCATATTGAGAGAACATGTTCTCTTTTGTGTGAATCACACTCAGAATTTCATCTTAAAGTGAGCAAGACAATTTTTATTATGCATAGGCAGCCTTTCCTGTGATCTGCATATAAATATTCAACATTAGTTTATTACTAATGTCATGTATTTGTTTTCCTTTTTTTAGTCATTTGATATTCATCAGATTTATCAGCAAACACTTTCCAAAATCAAATAATCTGCACAAAATATTCAACAGAAATAAGCTAAGACTTATCTCTAACTGCATTGAAAACTTATTAAAAATCATGAAATATATAACAGAAAATTACCAGTTCACCACAAAGACCCAAATTGTAGAACAAAGTATAAATTCCCTTTTACACAGTAACTGTTTATGAAATAATATAATATAAAAAGTTACAGTAAGATCCAAAGGAAACTCTGAAAATATATAGTTCCCTGGAAGCAAAAGTGACATACTTAATACATCACTAAAAAATATGCAAGCTACTTCTCTCTTTAAGCATGTGATGACTCAAAAATATACATTGAAACACACAAAAATAACACTGAGAGGAAGAAAAACAGCACTAGCTGACAACACTTCAAAACAATGTAACCTTTACCTAGATGAGAAAATAGAAATAATTACATTTCCAGAACAAAATAAACTTCTAAACAAAATATCAGAACTCATTTCCAAATGTAGACATGAAAAGAATTCTGTTTTTCACTTTCTACAACATATCATTACCAAAAAGGTTAACTTTTAGGTATCTAATAAACTTTTTCCATTATCAAAACAGAAAAATACACAAAACTAATAAATTTTATATATATATATATATATATATATACACACACTTCCTCCAACTCCCCAATCAGCATAAATTAGCAATCTATAGATAATGACCGTAAATAACTTTTAGCATTAACTTTAAAAGAATAAAAAAAACTATGAAAGGCCAGATTCAACTTCATGTGTTTCCCTTGCTTCCATCATGACCTACATTTACAACCTGCTATATATATATATATATATATATATATATATAGCCTAGTGTAGTGACACTTACTCTGAGGATTGCATTGAAATGGGAAACTGACATTCACCATGCAGTGTTGATTCCTATGCCCACAATTTATATCTATAAATACTCTATCTCCAATATTAAGCTCCCTTCCCCTATAAAAATAGTAAATTTTAAACAAATCTATAAAATCATGCATTTGCAAGCTTTGTGTATGTTCATCTCTATTTTATGCATGTATACAAAGTACCTAGATTAATGATTATTGATAAACTTAATTTTCTTCAAGACATTCATGGTAGGGTCCCTCATGAAGATCACTCACAATCTGTGTCTTGTTTGGCTCATCTAGCTTTCATTCTATGACAAATGTGTGTTTCTTGGGTGAAGCAAATTTTAATCCATGACCAGATTAACAAGGCATCCAATGAGGCTTGAATTAACTCATAGCAACCTGGATAACAAGCACTCTTGCCATTACTCAATATCTGATATTCAAAATATCTGGGTTTGTGTAGGCTTAATTTAAATATCTATACCAGCATTTCTCAAACTTTTTACCCTTGTGTAACCCTTAAAAAAATTACATGTCTCAAGGAATCCCTGCACAAAAACAAAATTATATTCCATATCATCCTCATTTTATTTTCATCGTAGTTCACGTGGTAAATAGTGTAAATGTCATAGTATATATTTTTGAATAACTGGTTTAAGTAAAAATTAATACTTTGTCAAATTTTTTGGTAATGCTAAATGAAATTCATACTGTTAGTTTATATTTCATCAGGGAGTTTTCATTCACACAAAAAAATTTCTAAACTCAAATGTAAAAAAAATAAACATAAGTAACCAACATCATTGATACTTGTTAAATAAGAAAAGGCTTGCTTACACATGTAAGACGTTGAAAACTGCAACAATGTATTAATTGCTTTTCTATGAACAGTAGGAATCTCTTCTTTCACAGAAATCCAGAACTTGTCCAGAGATAGGGTTGTAAGAATATATTGTGTATGTTTAGTAATGTTATGTATATGAAATTAAATAAAAAGTCAAACATGCATTAGCTTATCTTACCTGTTCTTGTGGAACCTTAGGGTTCTGGGGAACCCCAGTTGAGAAACGCTGATCTATACGGATCTATTAGGAAATGCATATATAATATTGAATCATCAGTAGCAACAGTTGTAAGAAACAATAAATAACTTGTATAAAACAATATTTCCATGGTGTTCAATCAAATATGCAAAAAAAAAAAAGAAGATATATTTGTGTATGCTCATGTTTGTATGTATAGAAATTTATAATTTGATAAATGTTTGATATCACAAATTGGCAGTTGATATGCCTTCCTTTTTCTTAGTGCCATACTGCCCTGTGGAGTATAGACAAGCATTCTTGCAGCTTTTATTTAAGGTTTTAACCATGTCATAAGCAGAGCCAGTTGATTTCCACTCCCTCAGATACAAAATATGTATTTATTTAGTGTTGAAAATCTGACTTTTTTTTTTTTTTTTTTTTTCTTATTTTTCACTCGCATTTTCTATAAATTTAGCATTTGAAACAAAAACTTTGCCTCCAAAATGTTTCAAGTTTAGCAAGATCCTGATATAATATATATTTAATGTACAATTGACATTTTTTTTATTTCAGCTTCATTTCCTATGGACGTCTTTGAATTCTTACAATTCTAGAATTATATCTTACACAATTGGCATGATGATACTCTATAGGATTGTTATTGTAATTAGATTATAATTTTATAGCAACATGCAAATAATAAATATGTTGCAAAATTGTTTGATTAGGCCATTATATAAACTATTTGACCAGTGTCAGATTGGTTATTGTGATTTACAATATTATAACATTACTTGATAGATGTGATTTCTGATGCACTTTATGAAAATACAATCTTTTAGGAAACCTATATAATAGTATAGTATGCAGATATAGGCTGATATTTCTAAGTAATCAAAACCGTGCATTGTAGCCAGAGGCATTGAATTTAGGTACTACATAAATTTCACTAACAATACAAAAAAAAAAAAAGTAAAAAATTTCAAGGGAGATAACTATTCTACTGATACTGTAATATCCGTTATTAATTTATGGTTGTCTAATTTAATCCAAAACTGGATAGAATCTTATATTTATTTACATCTTCCCACCAGAAATAATTGTTCTCAACATTTGGGCTATCCACTTTCTCAACTTCCTTTGTGCTATCTGGTGAAAGTTTTAACATTTTTATTTTTTTCTTATCCAGTCTTGGTTTTATGCATAATTTATACAAATAATGCTACTTAAGTTTATTTACTATATCCACCTGAGAAATGGAGAATGAATTGACACATTCTAAACAAGAGTAGGAAGATACTAATAAAAGAAAAATATTATTAATTATTCTCACTAATCTGTCATGAATAAAATCAATGTATATCTGGTATTATGATCAAAGTATGAAATATGTTCATTGAAATACCAAGCATTGCCAAATTCTGCTTCAATGTTCATTTTGCAAAAGACATATTTCCAACTTCACCATAATTTTGACATTGTCTTTTCACTAACAGATATAGGCAAAGACACTGAATGTGATCATGTGCAAGTATTTTCATTGTTAAAAAAATGGAACATAGTTTGTACTTTGAAAAGAGATGATTTTTAACTATGATACATCTAAATATCTGTTTCCTTTGTCTTTTGAAGGTAGTTCAAGGTGTGGCTGATAATGTACTGGTTGGAATTCGTCAAAGTAAGGTAGTTGTACAAGTTTTGAGAGATGATGCTTCTGCTCTGGAAATGCAGAAATTTCTTCAAGAAGTTGCTGTGTATAGGTAAGCAGTTTTATTAGGTCAGTTGATTTCAAACAAAAACACAGATCTTCTGCCGATACATAATACTTCCCATACATATTTAAATAACCCTCTTCTCTCAGTAATGATAACTTTTATTCTTCATCAGTGATTATCTTTTGGATTTCTCTGCACATGATACAGAATTTGGTTTTTAAAAAATTCAGATTTCATTTTTAAATATTCATATTGCTATGGTAATTTTTAATCCATTCATAGCCTGTGAACAACACTTCAAGTGTAGGCTGTGGTGAATTCTTCTGGTAGAGAGGGCAAAATTTACTATTTCTACATGTGGACACTACCTCTGAATTAATTCATTTTAGTTGAATACTGATGAATATTAAATGACCAACTTTTTGAAGTCATATTCACTACATCTGTTCACATACTAAATGCACTATAGAAATTTTGGTTATCTGTTTAATTCCAATGTAGACATAGGAATAATATTGTTTCTATACTTTTAGTATTTGCACATTATATTTGTAATCAATAGATTGAATGAAATATTTAACATTTATTTCATGAATCCTGTCTATGATTTAACAAGTTACATACACAGCTTGTTTTAAAATAATTTGTGAATTTTAATCATGCAGAAAAAAATCAGTATCTATAATACTTGAAATGATTTATTCATTTCAAATTTATTATATTAGTATTAATATAAAAAGTATTACTTTTCTCTCTCCCCCTCCCCAATAACAAATTCTTATTTTCCTTGCTGAATTTTTTTTTTTTTTTTTAAGTTTATATTTTGCACTAGATTTTAGTTCTTGGTACATAATTGGTTGATCTACAATTTATAAATACTGTTAGCCATTTATTCTTTTTTTCTCTCCTCTTTGTTACATCCCATTTCTTTATCTTTTTGCCCCACATTTTATTGTCACTTTCTTTGCCTTTCCATGTCTCCCCCAGTGTTGCATCACCTTTCGCTTTCCCATCTCTCTCAATTTATAGTCTCTATCTCTCTCCACCTCCAGTATATCCATTTTCTATAATTTTTCTTATGCCCAATACTGTTTCTTTAGTGACACCCAGATTTATGGTTTATGGTATTAATGTCAATCAATAAGTATATTTTTAGTTTATGCTGATGTGATGAAATTGTATTGATAGTAGAATGACAATAGAAAAAATTTGTAATCTTTAACAATTATCAAATAAAAATGAAACTACAATTTCTTTGTAAATTTTGTATCAAGTGTACATAAATGTTTTTTTTTTTTTTTTCTGGTAGGATTTTAATTTTATTAAAATAATAGTTATACTTTTAACACTGACAATTAAACAGTAGCAACAATTTAAATCAGTTATCTTCACAGTGACAAAAAAATAAGCACTTTTCTTTATTTTTTTATTTTTTTTATCAACTTTTTAAGTTTAGTGGAGACTAATTTTCAAATAAGAAAATAAAAATCTTTTTATTTTCTATTTTATGGCATTAAATTGACATGTTTTTCTTGCTACTTTCATTAGACAGAAATTCTATTATTTATATATTAGATAAGCTATAAGATTATAGAAAGTGTTACTGTTTCATTTTATGTAGTATTTTTACTTTGTCCACTTTGTTTTTGCCTGGAAGCATTTACTAATATATTAACCTTTTTCCTTAATAGATATACCAACTTCAGTATGAATTCCTTCATGTAGAGTTAGCAGGTTGGCTTACATAAACAATTCCAACATTTTCCAATCCACTTATGACTTTTTACCTGAATAAGCTTAATAAATACTGATTACAACCTAAGTATAGATTTTACTTTGAAATATGTTAATCTTTACATTAAAAAAAAAAAACAAAAAAACATTAAATACTAATATGAAGATATCAAGATAAAGAATAAAATTGACCAATTACTTCATGTTCCCATTCTACTTAAATAGACAAATTGAAGCAGTATTATTTTCAAATGAAGCATTATCTATTATTATTATCATCACATCTGATGAACATTTGCTTTCAGTTTTGACTTTTTAGTTGCTCTTTTTATTGCTTTTTATTATAACGTTTATCAGGCTGTCAGTCCTCTGGTAGTACGTACTTTTAGCTGACTAATAAAGTAGGGGGTCTTAATAATTGGGGGAGTCAGAATTTTTCTCAATATGCAATAAAAGAAGTTTCTTAAAAGTTGGGTTGTAAAATCATTTAAAGAGTCATGTGACACCCACCGGTGGTTGCGATCGCAGTCCAGCGCCAATATGTGATGTCCACTGGTCACAACATCAATATATGACACTGCGCTGTTGGCCCGTGGTCAACTCCCAATTGCGGTATGAAGCCATAAGGTTTCTTCCACCAGCATTTGGGGTTGACTCGCTGTCGCTGCCACCAGCCTGTGTCCCGGTCAATCTGGTCATTTCTGCTTTGATACCAACTTGTTGTTCCCAGCTCACTTCCAACATCTGGTTACCGAAGTAGCTACTTTGATCTCAAGTCTAACCTACCCACGTTGTGACTTTGATCTGAGGTAGACGAAATCAATCAGGCGTCGGGCCGTAGTGCAAGCTGAATCCGGGGTAAAAGTGATACCGCACAAGCGTAAGCAAAAGAAAAATAATAAAACAAACTCATGGGGTTCAAATATGTTGAGAAATAACAATTAACTTTATCTCTCTGCTGAATACAGGAGTGTGTTTCTCTCCCAGCCCGTTTCTATGGATTTGTGACACTTGTTGCGTTTCTTAAGCGAGTTATGGTATCTTAAGTCGTTCATCAATAAAAAACTTGCTTTTGGTAGGAAGACTAAGTCGAAAAGGACATGGAAATCTTTCGGTCAGCTCCTGCGAGGCTGGTCTCCAACTGCAACTCCGAACTCTCTTGAAACTCTGCCGAAAAACTCTCTGCTGAAACTCTCTCTGACTGCCTCGAGACGGTCATTTTTATATGGACACCGACCAACTCCGGGGTGGGGCCTGTCCTGGTTTGGGTTCTTTGACAATTCTTAATTCCCAACAAGAATTCTCTTTGTTCTTAGGCCAGGAAAATTAGTTACTTCCCATTTTTGAAAGATTAATCACTTTCCACTTCGGGTTTCCTCCCTTGTTGCGTTTCTTAAGCGAGTTATGGTATCTTAAGTCGGGTGTTAACAACTTTTCCATCTTTCTCATACATTCACCTCCGCCTATTACCCATGCTACTTCTTAGCCAATGATCTCTCGGCAGTGTGGGTGTGGTTAGACTGGCCCTCATGTTTAAAAAATCCTTTTTTTTTTTTTCTTTTCTTTTTCCTTTTCCTTCGGCCAAAACATTTACAATTCCAAATCCACTTTAGCAAACTTTTAACCGGGAGGTCAGTTTACCTGATAATTAAATTCTTTATTTTTCTCATATCTTAAAATTCTCTTATCACCAGGTGCCTATTTTCGAGTCAACAGTTTGAATAAGCAATAATAATGATCCCCTTTTCGACTCTCTTTTTTTCATGTCAAGATTCGTACATATACCAGATGGCTTCCCTTGCTGGAATCAGGAATTAGTCAAATGATATCTCTGAAAGATAATCAATGGCCACTCTCTAGGGTGGTCTCAAGCTGAAATTTTTTCATGGCCACATGCATCAGCTGACTTTGTTTATCTTTCAGAATTCTGTTTCATTTGACGCGTCACTCCATTATCATGACATTAATTAATTTGACAGAATCACAGTCTCGCTTTTTCTTACTAATTTTCTGTCTTTTGCAAAAAGTTTCTTCCTTTTGTAAATAAAATAAATTCTTTTTTTTTAATGTTGCTCAGTCTATCTTTTGGTATAGCTCTTTCTCGCTTTAAGTATTTCCTGTTTTTAATTTCTATGGTTAATTAGTTAGCCAATTACCATAGCTAAATAGTGTCACAGTCAAAAAGTGTAAAAATTAATAAATGGAGTGATCTTGTGATCTTAATTATTATGGTGGGTGGTTAGTCGGAAACTTTCCTCCATAAAAGATAAAACCAACTCTTTATATAAGGCACCTAAGAGTAGACCACATGAACTGGATAAATTCAGAGACAAAAAGGAATGTGAGTTTATTTTTCTCTGGGTGTTTCTTTTATTTCTGATCTGTACTGAATTGCAATAGATTAAGAACCTGAGTAAAGATGCAATAAAAAGCAACAGCAAAAAAAAAAAAAAAAATTACATACAAGTAAATAAGTCAAGGCAATTAATAAAAATGGCCAAACAATTTCTTTTCTTTTGACTTTTTTTGGGGGTTGGAGGTTTGTTCACCACTTAAATACTTTTACAATCAAGAAAATTTAGTAAAGATATTTTTGATCTTTCTAATACTTTTAACTCATGAAGAAAGTTACATTCTCTTCTTAATCGCTAAGTTAGAATCGAGACCAACAACAAACATTCCTGAAGCAATTGTTTGTCACTTGACCTCAACCAACCTGAAAAATGAAATGACACATGTAATTAGGGCTTTACTGTCTTTTATCAATCTAGGATCTAATCAAAATTGATGAATATTAAAAGGTATGCAATAACATGCCTAAAATTAAAGATTGCCTTTAATACCTGTTGCAAAAACGGAAGCCATGTTTATTAAGCAGGCTCTCTTAAGCTAAAAGGCATATGTTAGATGCCACAAGTGACAGCACTGAATACTAATTGTGAACATTTTTCACAGATATACACTTGCAAAAGATGTACAAACAAGTGTGTGTGTGTGTGTGTGTGTGTGTGTGTGTGTGTGTGTGTGTGTGTGTGTGTGTATATATATATATATATATATATATATATATATATATATATAATTATTTATTTAAATATTATAACATAAATATGTTATAAAATCACTACAAAAATAGCCATTTTGTTTCAACAACTCTGGTGTCTTATCAAGTGATGATGTTGAATGTAGATTGTAGAATAAAGGTTTTAAAAGGTTCAAATTAATTAACCACCCTTCATAAGGGAAATGCTGTTACATGAGCTGAAATGACCAATCAAAATACAAGAATTCAAACCTTTATTCTACAATTTACATTCAACTTGATAAGACACCAGAGTTGTTGAAACAAAATGGCTATTTTTGTAGTGATTTTATAAATATATTTATGGTATAATTTTAAATAAATAATTATATTGTTAATACTCTGTATTGAGCACTCTTTTAAGAATAGTAATTGTTGGTTATTGGAATTTATTCTGTATACACCAATCATATACTTGGGTATATATATATATATATATATATATATATATATATATATACACACACACATACACAGAACTACTATCTCAATTCACATACATACAAGAGAAAATAATATAAAATGATCTTTTGTATATAGTAGTAAAAGAAATAAATATTTTTCAACAACTTAATTTTAATGAATATTTCAACTCCTAAGACATTTTTGAAAGCATATCATAGCATGTTCCTTATTGTTCACCTTCACTGTTTAAAGTTTTAAGATAGGACTATCAATTTAAAGCTTTTTTTATGTATAATTTTGAATCACATTGAATTATTAAAAAGGATTTTATGAGAAATTAAAAAGAAACATACACTACTACATAAGACCAAATTGATTTAGGTGATAGCATTAATGATATTAATACCAAAATGTGAACTCTAAAAAATCCCAAATTTATGATGCCATTTTCTTAGTTCCAACTTCTACATTTAGTTTGTGGTAATATGTAAAACATCTGTGTGCCACTTTCATTCAGTAACTTTTTTTTGTGTGTGTAGGAGGTGTCCTTTACTTTGCACATTTTCTTGCTATATATCTCAAGTTAGTCATTCTCTCTCCACTTCACTCTGCAGTCTGCTAGAACAACATCATCACCTATTTGCTCAGTAGGTGATCCTTTTGAATATCAAACACACAAAAGATTTTGCATTAGGAATAACAATTAGTCTTTTCAACTCTCATTGCAATGTAATCAATATTTCTCTATATCATTTTTGTCTGATTGCTGTCTTATGATTGCAATAAGTTCCTCATTACTGTGTGAATTTATGTATAGATTTATAAGGATATCAATAAGTATAGTTTGCTAGTAATATTTGTCAACAAAATAAACCTGCTAAGTAAACCAGATAAAATATCAATAAATTCAAAAGGTTTCTTTTCTTTTTCTTTCAGAGCTATTGATCATCCCAATATCTTGCGTCTCCTTGGCATGTGCACTGAAGCCATACCATTTCTGGTCCTTTTTGAGTATTTTCCATTAGTAAGTTTTTTATATATCATGAAATTTTCACATATGGATTGAAATCCAACAGAATGATAGAACAAATATCAAAGTTTCATCAGAGAATAAGACATGAAGAAAAAATAGAAAAAAATTCTGGTATTTTTATTTGTGTTTGAATTTCATTGGTTAATCAGGCTTCATGCGCATTTGACTTGTTAAGCAACATTAGTATAATTTATGGCTTTCTAAACTCAAGGAGAGACATGTTCTTTCAAAGCTCAAAAAAAAAAATGAGCAAATTCTAAGCTTAACTAGGTGTCTGTGTTTCTAGCAGATGTCATTTATGTTTGGTGATTGTCTGCATGTTGATTTGGGTACGTTTTTACATAAACACTGTTTATGGTAGATAAATGTATGGTAGATAAATGCATGTTAGATTCTTTAAGAATGGATTTAATAAAGGTTGGTGATGTAATATAGTGTTTTTGATGTGTTTATAATTGTTAATATTTATGAGGATTCCCTCAAAGTATTTTTGGCATAAAGAATTAGGGACATTCATTTTTAAAATTAAAGTTATGGCTGCTTTTCTTCTTGTGTATTACAAACAAGTTTAAAGGTCTGTCCCAACATTAGATTCCTTTTATGCTCTGATATGGGCTTTTAAATTCCGAGATGTCTCACCAATGTGTTTTTACATTGCAAGTAATTTATTTAATAAATACCTGCATCAGAAGTGGTGTTGAATTTATTTTTCTTCCTAATTATATCCCCAATTGTCTTAGAGGTTGTGGTAAAAGCAATAATTTATCTTCAAATTTGTGTCATTGATGTTAAGTGCTATCAGCAGTATCTAATTTTTAATTTTTTTTTTTATTTTGGACTTTGTATGCTTGTTTTCTAGCATTAAGGATGAAATGATGTGGGTAGTGAAAAAGTCTAAATTTTTTTCAATGTATTTCTCTTCACCTAGATATTCTGGGCTACATATTTTAAAGGCTCTGAGGTGGAATCCTATCATTAGTCCAGATTTTGTGTTTTGACTGTAGTGGGGATAGAAATTAATTAGATCGTTTTTGTTAGTGGGTTTATGGTAAACTCTAAAATCGAAATTTAATATTGTTACATATTAAGATGTTGAGGAAAGGTTGAGATTTGTCTATTTAAAGTTTATGTGTGAATTTGATGGTATGTTCCACATTATTAAGTTTCTTTAGTAGTTTTATAGTGTGAGGATATAATAAAAAATGTCATCTACGTATCTTTGGTAAGTAGAGTTTTTAGGTATGATGTTTAAATTGGCCAGACTAGGAAAAGACAAGCAAGGATGCCACTAATAGGTGATCCCATAGTTAAGCCAAATTTTTAATTATAGAAATTCCTATTGAAAGAGAAAAAACTGTGGTTAATGATTAGTTTACATCATTGTATAATTTTATGGACAAGTAGAGGAAGTTTATCTTTGGATCTTTTTGTTGTTGAGGCATTTTGTAACAGTGTATATTTGTATATAATGATTTGATATCTAAGCAAGCCATAATCTTGTTTTTTCATATTTATTTCATGTCCTCTGGATTAAGTCGTTTAATGTGTGTTGGGTTGATGGTGCTTAAGAACGGAGTTAGAATTTTTTAAATAGATTTTAGCTAATTTGCTGGGTGCACTCTAGATTCCAGACTCAATAGGTCTGATGGGTATGTTGGGTTTGTGTAAGCTGTATAGTGGGTGTAGTAGGGTGGTATTCTATTAGTCTAGTCCAGGATTTGTTTTTATTTTTTAAGATTTTTTTTACCATTTGTTGGTTTTTATGTAATAGGGGCAACCACCAAATATAAATAATGTCTACTGGGCATGCACACATACACACTTACAAATATACATTATTGTCTGAATTCCACATAAGAATTAAAGCAATATTTGTTTTTTCAGTTAGGCTTGGAATCTTTCAATTTTTGGGAGCTTTGAAAGGATATGTTGTTGCTCCTTCAGTTTGGAAAACCATAAATTATACTAATAATAATAAAGCCTGATTCACCAATGAAAATCAAATAACACAAAAATATAAATACCAAAATTTCTTTTTCTTTTTTTTTTTTCCATATCTCATTCTCATGAAGCTTTTTAACATGTGAAACATGTTAGATTGATAAACATTTTACTATTTTTTATTTATCCTATTGTGTGTGTGTGTTAGACAATAAAATAATGTAAAAAAAAAAATGCCAGCTTGCATCATTTTCTGGATGTTTAAAGAGTAACTTTACATTCAAATGTTGGTTTACTGTATTTGTCTGCACAAAGAATTTTCACATCACATTTTAGTATTGTAGATGCACCATATATACTGCAGCCATAACCACAGTGGGTGTGTTTAGGGTGGCAAGACAGCTTGACAGAACCCATCCTCCTTCAGGTTGATTTTGAATTTAGTTTTCCTTCTCATAGACTGATTGCCAAGCAAGGCTAGAGAGCAGCCCCGTCTACTCTGCTATTTAGTCCGTATCTGAGGTGGTGTAGGAAGAAGAGATTCATGTCATTTTCCCCAAGGGCATTTGTTTCAAAGTGAACACAATAGACGACAAGCCAGAAATTAGAACTACTCAGCTCACCAAGACCACTTTCCACACTCGTATCTCAATTACATGCACACATCTATATACAAAGAATAATTATGTGTAAAATGTTTTTGATATGCCCTATAAAATCAACATATACGGGGTATGATGGGTAAATTGGTGCCATTTTATATTTTTAATTTCACAAATGCATGTTATTTGTTTTTGATTTTGTCAACTGTACAATATAGTTGGGTCAGTTGGGCATAGTCTGTAAGAAAAAGAGCACCATGATGCAATTCACTCTGCCAGAAATTTGGAAACTGCATGCTATACTGCCTGGTATTCATGCCAGAAGCCCTAATACGAACATTTCAGAGTGGGTGTCAATCTGATGACAGTGCAGAAGATTTGGAAAGAGTTGGATGAGTTTAATTGTGATTATGAAGGTGTTTGGAGTGACTCATGATGGTGGTGATAGGTCTCCATTCAGCTTCATACTGTGCCTCACTCAACATGGAGGCCTACATCCAGTGCCTTGAAGAGGCAGTGCTGCCCTGGGTCAAGAGCATTGACTGCTGGAAGACCCTATGTCTGGCAACGGGACTCTGCATCATGCCACAGATGCAGGAGAACAATCATGGCTATCAGACAATTTCTGTGACTACATCACCCCATACATCTGGCCACCTGACTCCCCAGACTGCAACCCCCTTGATTACTATATGTGAGACCCAGTTGAGCAAGAGACCAACAAAACTCCTTGTAACACCAAAGATAAACCGAAGGCAAGGATTATGGCAGCATTCATCAACTTAAAAAAGGAGACCCTCCAGAAAAGTTGCAGGAGATTCTGAAGCTGCCTGGAGGCTGTGGTTGAAGGCAATGGCAATTTTATTGAATAAATTTCCTCTTTAGTATTTCAAGATATTTTTGTGTAATTTTGTTAAATATATCTGTTAAAATGAGATGTCAGTGTTATTTTTGCATAATTTAGATGACAATTTATCTATTGCACTATGTACATTGTAATTGGAATTTAATACGGTATAAAGTAAGCCAGTTTCACTAATAAAAATGTTAGATTCTTAATTTATTATTGAAGGTACATAACAACATTGAAGTAATGTATGATTTCAAGCAAAAGAGAAAGACAAATGTTTAAAGGCTGACCAGTGTTTGTTCCTGTATCTGACCCATTTTTCTAGCTTGCATGGATTTTAAATTATGTACTATTGTTAATTGGTTAATTTTAGCAGTAAAAAGTTGAGTAAACTTCAGACACTTCCAAAAATTTTCCTAACATTGTACAAAATTGGTATGAAGAACTTTGCCTCAATCTATTATTTTTAAGTTAATTTAAATTTTGTGGCATGCAGTGTGTATCCAAATTATTTCAAATTACAATGGACACACTAAAAGTAATTACAGGAGATAGAGAACCTAATAACAGCATTGGACAGAATCAGTTTTCAGCTACAAAACATTATTTTTCCTCAGAGGCAAAAAATGCATAATCAATAGTGCTGACAATGAGCAAGAGCCATCATGCTATGGGTTTTTTTTTTCTTTTTTAAAGAAATCTGCACCAGCTGAGGCAACCTCACCCCCACACTTTTCTATTGCAGAAATGAAAAAATTTGTCAGCAAAATATTGTCCATCTTTCATCAGACTAAACAGATGAAAGTCAGGATACACCAAATTATGGTTGTATGGTGGGTGTGGAAGTAGAGTTCAGCCAAAATTTACATGGTCCATACTCTTCAAAGGACCTGACCTTATTCTATAATACTTAACCCAGTGGTCAATTCTGGGTCAGCCTGGTCAGCAGTGACCAAACGTTTTGATCCTTGCCACATGCTGCTTGTACTAGATGTCTTGGTCCTCAGGGGTTGTAGGACGAAGAACTTATTGCAGGATCAATCCCATGCTGTTTGATACTGTCACGCTTCCATGGCCATTGTTCGCTGTCACCACCCTACTCTGCCCACACTGTTTCTTGATCACAGAGCTGGTAGGGATCTCGGTTGATCATCAGTATCATAGCAAAACAACACCAAGCTGTACTATGATGAAAAAAATAGACTTTTTGCAGACATAATAAAAACAAAAAAAGTCTTCAGGTCATTTTTGGATTTGGTTTATGTAGTTCTTGGTATGGCAGAATTTAATCCTTCCCACTAAAATCTCTTTGGTGATACTTTTACTGAACAAGGATCAAGTTAGAATTCTCTCTCGGCAGTAGGTCACATGGGTTTCAGCAGCTTCTTCACTGCTGTCTTGTCTTCTCTTCTGTCTACAACTTTAACTCTAACTCCAGCTGCAACTTTCTGGGTCACTTGAGTGCTCTGCTTATATTGACTTTGATCCAAAATCAGAGTGGAAGCTGACAGTGTTTGGGAATTTGATGTTTCCCCACGTTCCTGTAACAATTACAACAAAGTTCCTTCGTTTTCTGGTTTGTAATATTAAATATCTCTCCAAATTTGGCAGTTCCTCTCTTTTTATGGGTAGTGGTTACAGGTATTGGCCTGCCTGTATAATTAATTCCTTCTCTTATCTATGCCTTGTGCCATTACTTCCAAATGGTCGGAGATAATTTCTCCGTCTCTTGGTATCTCATCTAAGCCTACCACCTCAGATGTTCCTTTGACAACTCCAACTTTCAAACTGCATGGGCAGAAAGTTGGTCTCAACTTTTAGTCATTAATTATACATATCTTTTTAATTTTCAAAAATAGTACCAATGAAGCCCACATGTCCATACCCTATCTGAATTCCTTCAACATGGGATTAAATCTCAAGGCCAGCAAGACCATTTCTGCCTGTTGACAGACAGGCACAGGCCAGTCTCTTGTTTCTCCCTTTGTCCTCCAAATTATTATATTCAATTGACCCTTTCTTTCTTCCTGGTAATAATGAGACATGATCTCATCACTGGCACTTTTAGGCAAGCATACATAAATCTATATGTCATCTTGTGTTTTTAACCCTCTCTGTCTGTTCCAAGTCATATTCCAAATTAACCCTTTCTTTTCCTTTTTTACCAGTGTCACAATCCTGCTGCAAACAAAAATCTGTTTCCTTCTCTGTTCTGACTGGAAATGTGACTTCACCTTTGTCAGCATCACAATGTAACAATTCAAGTTGATGGTTTGTCTGCATTCCAGAAGGATCATTCATGTCACAATTCCATTGACTGTTATTTTAATTCTGACATATTTATGACATCTCATCACCAGTGATTATGCAACCCACTTTCAGCTGCATAGTGATTCAGTGGATTGTTTGGTAGGGTTTCTCTTTTTGTGGAACCACCCTTGGAATTTTCCTGGTACAAACTTTTAAGTATCTCATTATTGCAAACATTATTTCCAATGAATTAATGCTGGTATTCAACTCTGTTCACAATTCCCCTGGTTTTGATGTTCACACTTGTAAGCTGATTGAGAAGCTCTTCATTTTCTGGATTGACAGGTGTATAGGGCTACCCAGAACAAAGCTTGTTTCACACATCATTGTCACCACTGTTGAACCCATTGCCAATCTGTTTCCACATGGAGGAATTCAATGACACACTTCATATCCACTTTCATGTTAGACGTCATTATATCTGTCCCAAGTCCCAAAGAAATATGGTTTGTTGATTTGAAGGTTCAGACTCTAATGCCATATCGCCACCATCCACCTCCAACATCATGAGTCAACATTATTAGACATTACTTTGAAGAAACCCATATATATATATATATATATATATATATATATATATATATATATATATATATTATTATCTCCTTATACAGAAACATTCTACATTCATTGATCAACCAGTCAGTACTACTGTCAATTGAAATTTATAAAGCCTTTCATTTAAAACAAATTTTCAGGAAAATAGGTTTCTCAAGTTTAGTAGCTTCCTAACCTTACATGTGATATCAATTTTAGTTTTTGTTGCTGTTTAAATTTCTCGAGTAATGTGGCTTCTCTTATTTGTTACAGTTTGTTTGTGGTTTTGTAGTGCTAATCCACATAATTTTAATATTATATTCCACATAATTTTAATTAAGAGGGAGACGGACATAATTTCAAATTTATAAGCTAAAATGCTATTTTTTCTGATGCATCTTAGCTATATATTCATATATTAGATTGATAGACTGCATAATTAAATTCTCTGGGTTCATTTGTACTATTTTTCTATTTTTGTATCATTTGATATTGACTTTAATCTTTTCATATGATGGTTTATTGTAAAACTGTTTTATTGTAAAAATTATTTTTTTTTTATTTCCAGGGTGATTTGAAAACTTACCTGATAGAAAATGAAAAAGACATAGCTTATCATAAGCAAAGAAAGATTCTTTTGAGATTTGCTATTGATATTGCCTGTGGATTGGCTTGCCTTCATCGTCATAATTATGTCCATTGGTATGTATCTGATCAGTATTTGAATTTATTTTAAATCTATAATAATCTCGCTCTCTGTCTTGGCAGAAAGATAAGCCTCATTTCAGAATACTTTGGATTATAACATGTTCTTACTTGTTCCCCATCAACAACCCCTAGATGCCGATAGTGGAAATATGCAAATACAGAAGAAATGCCAGCAGCAGTGATAGGGTTTGCAGGGGCATTGTGGAGATTTTAGGAAACATGCAACTTCTTTATCTTTAGCAACCACGACCTGAGTGGGAATAAATGAATAATAATAAAAATTAAGCTCTAAGCTCTGCCCTCACCTTGAATTGGAACCTTATAAAAACTCTTACAATTAGTTTATCTAATAATGATAGGATTTATGTTTTTGATAATTATAAATACAACACAGAAAATCAGTATATCTTTATCAGGGAGATAAGAAATAATTTGGCATAAATTATGGTGTTTTATTCATCACATTTAAAATAGAATCCTATTCAGACTCCATTATCGGAAAATTCCAGTGCACATTGATAAGCAATTTTTCCATCTCTGCAAGTCACTTTTCTGGAAGCATAAAATGTGTTTATAAATATATATATATATATATATATATATATATATATATATATATATAATCGAAATAAAAGTATAAAATTTAATATTACAAGACATATTAAACCATAAAAAAAATAATAAAAAAAAAAAACAACATAACAACAGGGAAGGGAAGCAACTGGTTTCGCTCCCACGATATATATATTTTTTTTTTTTTTTTCACCTATTCTTGTACATTTTTCTGTTTTAATTTTGAATCTCCCATGGAAGCCTGAAGAGCGGGAGCAAAACCGGTTGCTTTCCCCCCGTTGTTGTGTTGTTTTTTTTTTATGGTTTAATATGTCTTGTAATATTAAATTTTATACTTTTATTTCGATCATTAAATTTTGTACCTACAAAAATATCTTTATATATATATAAAAGAAATATGTTGTAGTGGTTCCAACGAGAGAAAAGTATGTATATTAAAAAGAAGAGGGGTGCCGCAAACGTTTTTGGTTGTAATGTGGATTTATTGAGAAAAAATATTATACTTTGTTTTACATAATTTCACGACACGTGTTTCTGGTCTGGTCTACTTAACCGTCTTCAGGTGAAAGTGGAGATTTTTACATATTATTAAAAATAATTAATTTTCTTCATGTTCAATGTGGAATATTCTCGATATGAGACATTCTGTTTGTGTGTTGGCAATCCGAATTTTCTTTCTAGAATTGTCAATGAAGAGTTCTGCGTACTACTTAAGTTGTCAACATCCGCATATACATACATAAATGTATGTATGTGTACATACACATATATATATCTCCTCGTGTCTCCCGTATATGAGTGTGCGTCCATGTATGTGAGCGATCATTGTATTTGGTCACCCTGTGTGCATGTTTTGTTTTTTTTTTGTGGGGGGGTTACAGTCTATTCAGTTCGGGTTTGAATTTGTCTATAAAGTTTTTTTTCCTGTATTTGTAGATACGAGTAATTGTCTGTTTGATATATCGGCATGATATTAAACTTACCCTGGTTACATTTGAAAATGTGTTGTGATACAAAAAGTTTTCTGTTGTCTGTCAATTTTATATTGCTTTTGTGTAGGGAGACCCTGTTGTTCAGTTGTTGGCTGTGTGCGTGTGTATGTATGTGTGTGTGTGTGTGTGTACTGGTTCCATGTAGCTTGGGAAATATGTGTGTATATGTGTGTGTGTACTGACTACTTGTGGTGGGATAGTGTGTATGTGCGTATGTGTGTGTATGCGTGTATAAGTACAAATAAGTTTACGAATTCCTCGTAGTAAGGAAATATACGCACGCATATATACACGCATGCTGACAGGAACACGCCAAAATAGAAACAGATCCAAGAGCACATAGAGGTCACTAAAACATTAAAAGATTAAATGCCGATAACTACTCGCTGGACAAACCTTAATTGTTTTATGACCCTTCACGCAGAACTCTTCATTGACAATTCTAGAAAGAAAATTCGGATTGCCAACACACAAACAGAATGTCTCATATCGAGAATATTCCACATTGAACATGAAGAAAAATTAATTATTTTAATAATATGTAAAAATCTCCACTTTCACCTGAAGACGGTTCTGAGACCAGACCAGAAACACGTGTCGTGAAATTATGTAAAACAAAGTATATTTTTTCTCAATAAATCCACATTACAACCAAAAAACGTTTATGCACCCCTCTTCTTTTTTAATATATATATATATATATATAAAAATCAAAGATGTAAGAGAAATTGGAAAATTTTTTTTGAAGCATTTCATCTGTTAAGACTTATCAGACTGGGTTTGTTGATGTTGTTACTACATGAGACGCTAGTAGTTTCAAAATTTTTTTTTTTTTTTAATCTGTCCAAATCCATTTAGATTATTTTTCTTTTCATCATCTTTGTTATTAAATATCCTACATTGCGATAACAGAAAATCTGCCATGAATGGTAAAATGTTGTAAAAACCTGGACGTAAATTTATTGTGGATGAACTAGCAATTAAAACACTTTCTAGACATTTTTGTGAATTATTTTCTTTTAATTAGAGTAACATTTTTTTATGTCAAAATTGTGGTCAGTTTTGTTACAGTGAACAACCAATACATTTTGTATGTTATTTTTTAAAATGTTTGTGTACACTATTTACATTATTCAGACTATTGTCCTCATCTTTGTTGCCATATTTATTATTTGTTTGTACGCTCCGGCCTTCTTCAGGTGGTTGGAATGTCGAACTGAACCCTTTATTTCACTCACTAGGGTAGACTGTTCTAGTTCCACATGCCATGTTTAATGAATGTCAGTTATCAGTTAATTCCCCTTAACTGGGTATTGAACTCGCACTCTTTAGGTCCTGTCACTGGATCTAACCAATGCCTTTATCCACTGTGTCATGTATCCTTGAGGACATCTGTGTATGAATTTCTGGGTATTATAAACCTAATGTCATCAGCAATCTTTTTTACCAGTGTTCATATTGCAATTTTTCCAACCACCTGAAGAAGGCCGGAGTATACCACAGCTGAAACATTGTAATAAATATGGCAACAAAGATGAGGACAATAGTCTGAATAATGTAAATAGTGTACATAATACCTCATCTCAGAAATATAGACAGATGTTTGTGTTCATATAGTATTTTATTTAAAGTTCTAGAGGTTTCTTCAATATATTCTTTCTGTCATCCTTGCAGTTAATAAAATAAATTCATGTTTTGTCTTGTTTTGATTAAGTCTTTTATTGTTTTAAATGTAGCCGTGACAAATTTTATGTTGAGTTTAGATAAATTCTTTTCGATTGCAGTTGTGATAGTTACTGGGTAGAATAATTTTTTTTTTCTTTGATTCATTTGGTTTTCCAGGAGGGACTGTTTTTCTGTTCTGGAATATTTTATGAGCCTTTTGTTTCACATTGAATATGTAATAGTTATGGTATTGAAGGGTCTTGAAAGTATTTTCTATATATCTCTCCTCTTCATTTAAATATTGAGGGCTGCAAATTCTGAGTGCTTTTAAGTAGAATCCAATAATTATTCTGAATTTTATTTTATGATGGGAATAGAAATTTATAAGGTCATTTTTTATTAGTTGATTTTCAGTGGACACTAAGTTTTAGGCTGCTGTCAACTTGGTGTAACATGTCTAGGAAAGGTAAAGTATTGTTTTCTATTTCGTATGTAAATTCTATTGTATGTTCAACCTTGTTTAGTTTATCTACAAGATCTGGTAAGTCAGTATCAGATGTATTGTGAAGTGGATAAGTCAATAACACATTTAAAAGTAGTAGTAATTTAATCCAAAGAATAATACAATACTAACAGTCAAAAACACAGTCTTCTGGAATAACAGTTAATTGTGATCTCTCTCTCTCTCTCTCTCTCTGTGTTGTTTATCTTTTTTAGATCAACCCATCTTGTGGGGTGCTCTGGTACTCCACAAAAACAGGGTTATATTAATAGAGCATTATCAATATATTTTAAGAAAGTTGGTTGTTTAGATAAAATATTTTGGAAAGGACTAGATTTGAGAAATTCTAAGAAGATACATGCCATCACTCCACTGAGTGGTGATCCCATTGGTAATCCAAATTTTTTTGTAAAAATTATTAAATATGAAATATCATTGGGGATGAGGTGGCAGATTTTTATTATTTTATCTATTGGTAAGGGGAGGTTTATCTTTGTGTCAGATGCTTTTTTAGAGATTTAAGCATTTTTCAACTGGGACATTAGTGTAAAGTGATTTTATATCTAAACTGGCCATGAGTTTGTCAGTCATATTTGTTGGCATTGTTTAGTAGTAAATTGATTTTTTTTTATTGTACAAGTTCTTATGACAATTTCACTCACCTTGTCTGCAGGTGAAATGTAGATTTTCTTATTTTTTTGATAGTTCTTTAGTGTGTGTAAGTGTCTTTGTGGTAATGTTTTTTCATTGTTGGTTTCTATAGTTGCAGCAATTATTCTTTGAAGCTTTTGGTGAAATCTGAATCCTTTTGGCTATGATTTTTTTATGTTAATTAGATCACCTAGATGAATTCCAATGAAAAAATAGGAAGATCAACCATTTATGCTGGTACCATGGTTTCAACCATTGAGGTTTTGTCAGGCTGTAAGTGGTTAATCTTCCTATTTTTTAATATTTAAAAGCTCTGCACATTCAATTTTTTTTTTTTGTGTATTGAGCACTTTTTAATATAAAACATTCCCTAGTCTGAATCAACTTTGGCCAGCAACTGTTTATATATATATATAAAATCAGGGATTTTGTCCACTCAGTAAAAGTGGTTATATTCTTTTTACATTAAACATTCTTTGATTTATTTTCAGTGATCTTGCCCTTAGAAATTGTCTGGTAACAAATGATTTAAATGTAAAGATTGGAGATTATGGGCTTTCAGAGGAAAAATTTAAGGTAAGGTCTGTTTGTTTGAATGTCATGTTTAGGCAGTAATCAGAAATGTAGGTTCAAATTAGGGGGCTTGCTACAAAACTAAAGCACCAAAATTTTTGGCATAGAGCCAATGTATTCTCTTTGCTTAATATCTTATTTGAATGAAATGTTATTTTCTTACTCCTTCTATTGCACTGTCTATGAAATACATGTTGGTTACACTGATTATTTAATCCTAACATCTGCTGTCATACCCCAACAAACATGAGGGTTTTTTTTTGTTTTTGTCCTTTTTTTGTTAGGATTTTTTTACTTCTTGATATTTCAGTAATTTATGTAACTTTATAGAAATCTGAACTTATGAGTATAGTTAAATCAAAATGACAAGAATGGCCAGCCAGCTATCTATCCATATATATATATATATATATATATATATACACACACAGTGATGACTAGCAGTTTCATACAATCATCATCCCACAAGGTCCACGCTTTATAATCTACATATGTACTATCCCCAATACTGAGCATTCTTTCTCTAAAAATATAGCAAATTTTATGCACACACTCTTACTAATAAAAATGGGTCAATGTCTGTACCACTCAATGTTGACCTCAGTGTCCACTATTAAAGTAATACTCATATACAGCATGTTAAAACTCTATTGTCAAAGCAAAGCATGCAATGCTAGCTATCCATATATTTACTAAGTTTCACTTAGTTTAGCACAAGGCTACAGTTTCAGAGCACTTAGTTAAGATCATAACATACTACATTAATTAGCAAATGATCTTAGCAAGTTTTCTAACCATCGTGCTATGCTAGACCTTCAAGTCTGGCAAAAGGATACATTTACTCAGTAAAGATCAAACACACTTTAACAATAATGGCCTACATGATAAAATTAGCTCACTAACCATGAACCAACTATAGAGAAATATATTCTTCAACTGTTGTGTATTGCAAATATCTTGTAAGATGCTTTGATACAAATGCACTGCCATGAAAATACATTCTTTGAAGTACTTATTTTCTATGTCCATGTTCTGGTGTTGAAAAATTACAATAAGGACTTTTTATCTTTATTTTTTTAATTTTCTCACATTTTGAAAGACTGGAAATAGAAGGGTAGATTGAATAAGAAATATTCTTTTATTTTAATGTGGTTGTAGCATCATACCCACCCACATGCCTTAAAAATACTGCACATGAATCCCATCTCTTCTTACTCTGTGCATGTGTGTATATGAGCAATTTATATACATTCTTTAGACAAAAACCATGTAATTATGATATGTACTCAAGCCAAGTCACTTGCAATATGTACTTTTCTTCATTCAACCAAATATCTTCATTCAATTATGTCATATTATTGAATATGAGATGTCCTTTTTGATCATGCTACCATTGATCATCTTTGACCAAGTTTTGTTTCTTGAATATATTCTCATGAAACATTTTTATTCCCAACTAATGTACCAAAATTAATATAAAAATTTAAGCATTTTCCTTTCTTTTTATCACTCCCCACTCCCTTATATTTAAATTTATATCTCTTGTTGTAATGTAGCATTGTAGCTGAGGCCAGACACCAGGTTTGTTTTCAGGGTGCAGGTTCTTCCAATCAAATACTTGTGGCTTAAAAATAGCCAGATTGTTACGCACAAATTAATACCATGAAAATTTGTAGCAGTAAGCAGATTTTATTCTCTGGTTGTAACCTACTGCTATAGATGAGTGGAGCCAAGATGAGGCATAGGTGAGAAAAGAGGTGAACAGTCTAATGGATGTCTTACCTTTCATGTCATTTTCTGTGGATTCTCTTATAGAGAGCATTGTTCTTTGTCTTATCTTTGTCTAAAAGAGTAATTTATCTTCATTCACTGAATCTCATTGTCTGAGCCACTTGCCAGGTACTTGTGAAGTTGATAACCATTGGGAAAATAAATGTCCAAATATATTTTTGTGACAGGTCAGCTGTTTTCCATTTAATAAGATATCAGCTAACACTGATATTGCTACAATAACTAAAGTAGTCCTATTAAGTTACAAGGAAGTTTTGCTTAAAATTTTCCCACTAGAGGAAAACTACATTAAATTGAACATATGTAAACAGAAAATGGAAAATATGTCCTCCATTGCAATTTGTTTAAACTTTGATATTGTATGCCAAGAAAAATACAAATTACATACAGATTACAGTAAATTATCAATTTGATCAGTGGAAATTTGAAGTTTAAAGGGAGGTAACTTTGATAATAGCTTTCATTTAATACCTATTCAGCTTACTAAAAGTAATCAAAATAATGTATTGGATAAGAAAAAAAATAGACTTTACCACAAAATAAAAAACATCAAGAACAGTTCAAATAACATTTCTTAATCTGGTATGAAAAATGTTTTCAATTTAACTTGTTTAATAATTTAGAATAATAAAAATTTTAATGAGCATTTTCATAGAAAAGCATGTTAATCATTATCATGACTATTGTAGAGTTGAATTGAGATAAATGGCCATCAATATGAAAGACAGTATTGCTAAACAAATTTGAATTTTAACTAAGATTGTTTATGTGCACTTTTTACTACTCCATTGCTTGATATCTTGATAATGCCTCAACATTGGCATGTACTTGAGCAAATCACTCTCCCATAATTATCTTGTCTTAGTAGTTGCTACAAAAAACTGTTATACCTATAATAAGCATTGACAAGAACCAATATAAAAGGCTTCAAATTTTATTAAAATCTGATTTTAATTTCACAAAATTCTTCCATCTTCAGGAGGATTATTATGACACTGGATGTGATCTTCTACCTGTTCGTTGGATGGCTCCTGAAACACTTACCTTGCAAAAAGGTGTGTGGCGAACAAAGCCTTTCACTGTTCAAGCGAATATTTGGTAAGTATTGAAACTTTAGATTTACTTACTCCTGGGATTATTCAAAATAATGATTGTAAAACTAAAATAAAAAACAGAATAAGGAAACTTGATTTTAATAGAAATCTAATTGAGGAATACTTTTTTTTTTTCAAAATACCTATATACTATAATTATAAGTTGACATTATTATAAACTCTTTATTTGTAAGAAAAATGTGATTTTTTTTTTTTTTTTTTTCTAGGGAATAGCATATGCAAACTGACACAGCTCATTTTTATGTGGCTTATTTACAAAATGTTATGAAACCGTTTAACTGTAAGATAAATTTCATATTCAAAAGTTTACTTTCTTTTAAACATGAAAAATCTTCAGGGAATCAAACCTAAGTAGTAACCATTATTATTAGATCAACCATTTTAAATTAAGGCTTCTTATTAATAACGTTCAAAAGAGACAATATTGATAAATATTGAATTAATAAGAATAATATCTGGAAGAGGACGGTGTGCCAATAAGAATTACCTTCAGTATCTGTCTATATCTCTGAGATGAGGTATTATGATTATTTACATTATTTGGACTGTTATCCTCATCTTCATTGCCATATTCACAACGTTTCAGTCGTATGCTCTGGCCTTCTTCAGGTGATCGGAATTTTGAACTGGAGCCTTTATTTCGGCCACCAAGGGAGGTTGTTCTAGTTCCATGTGCAATGCCTCTTCTAGATGTCTCAGTTATTTCCCTTTAACTCAACTCTCCAAGTTTTTTCATTTGCCACTGCTGTAGCCTGGTATTGAACTCACAACTCTTTGGGTCTAGTCATCACATCTAACCAATGCCTTTATCCACTGGGCCATGTGTCCTTGAGGACAATGGCTGAAATGTGAAAATGGCAATGAACAGTCCAAACAATGGCAATGATAACAGTCCAAACAATGTAAATAATGTAAAGAATTACCTCTTAAATTTTGTCAGCACAATGAAATAATTGGTATTTTATAGTTCATATAACACAAAAAAAAATATGAAATTATTAAAATGTACTTAGTAACAAAGTCCAAAAGAACTAATTAAAAAAAGAAAAAATATAGACTTGTTTTCTGACTAAACTTAGTAAGGGGCATACTGGGAGAATTTTATTTACATTAGTTTGTTTTACTAAAGGATTTGGAGTTCAAAGTTCTGAAGAAGAAAGTGAATTTTAATTCTAAACAAGTGTCTTCATGTTTCTTTAAACATAGAACAAATAAGAGAAGGAAAAGTACAGAGTACTGACAAAAGTTGTTGAAATTCCAAATATTAGAATTAATTTTGCCAGATGAGCAAAAGTTATGTCTTTCAAAGGATGAAAGACAGTGCAGCAGATATTATTCCAAAAATGAACAGAAGTATTTCAGAATTTTAAAATACTACAAATTCAATATGTTTGGCTTTTAACATTGATAGTCATTAGACTAACCAAATATAACATTTTGAATTAAAAGGCAAGAACAGAAAGAAAAAGAATTTTCCTTCAGATACTTTTTCTTATATTATTTGGTGGTCATACCTTTCTTTTTTCTGTGCCAATTTTTTAACTGATATTTCGCATTACAGAAATTATAAAGATAATTAATCTTTTTTTTTTTTTTTTTTTTTTTATCATGCAGTGCTTAAAATTTATCAGTTCTAACTGCTTCCCAAAATTTATACCTTAAAAAATTGTCAATATTTTGCAGTTAAATTCTTTTGAATGAGTAATCATGGATTTTTATCAATAAAATTAATCTGTTGTCATATGTAAGAAAGTATTTTACTTTTTAAATGATTAAAAATAAAAAAATTTCCAAAGAAAATTAACACAAAAGAAACTAAAAACTATATATTAGCAACTTCACTACTTACTAAAGAGATGTTCCATTGTTATGGTAACACAAGATATTTAGTTAACTTGTTGGTACTGAAGAATCCCTTCTGTTACTGTAAGAGCAGATTCTCGTTACTAAGAAAGGAAGATTAGGCTGCATGACTGATAAGTATAGCAAGTAACAGTTTTATGTTAAGGAATAGATTGCAAAGATATATCATGAAACTTATGCCAATTCTACAAATTTAAAATAAATACTCAACTGAATATTAAAGATAGAATAATTATTTTGTTATAACTAACACTAATATTCAGTTAACATCACATTGTATTTATGAATAAAACTTTTGCATAATTTTTCTATCAAATAACAAACATTTCACTTGTATATTTTGGTTTTCATGAATAAACCTGTGTTTATGTCTCTTTGTCATTCTTTTAGGTCTTATGGTGTCACAATGTGGGAAATGACGCAATTGTGTCGCCAGCCTTATCATTGGCTTACTGATGAACAAGTCTTGGAGAAAGTCATCTCAAAAAGGACAGAGTGTTTGCCACTACCATATTATGCTGAAGATAAGCTCAATATGTAAATATTCAATCTTGTATCAATGAAGCAGAATTAAGTTTGTTTATATTTTATACTGAAAATATATCTTTCAGGAGGTGTTGGGTAGAATGGTATGGAAAATTTAGTAAGCAGATCAAATTTCACTAGAAGCTGTTGTCTTTTTCTTACATTTTGGTGAAGGCATGAACCTGCTTCTTGTATCCTGCCTTATTGCTAGAAATCTTGACAATGTCTTATGATGGTTTGAGAACAGTCTGGCTGAGTGAGCAATTCAGCCAAACCACTCTCCTATACTAAACAGGAGCAACTTGAGAGAGTGAAGAACATTTAACTTTTAATAATAAATCATTTATCAATTCAGCTATTTTGTTTTTTCTTTTCTTTTTTTTTTTTTTTTGTTTACAGTTATTATATACTAAAAATATGTTCAAATAAAAAATAGCATTTGGCAGTTAACACTGAAATATAATGAATCTTAGAAACCATGGATTTCGCCATGTCACCAATTCATTCAACTTTTTTACTTTACATATTTAATCTGTTGTGTATATCTCCTTAAACATTTTCTAGATTCTATCTGCCAATCTTTATCATGGGGCAAATTCAACTTATAAAACTATGTATGAGTTTTCATTACAAAGACAAAAATATTAAGATAAAAACTGGAATCTTTTTACAAAAGTTGCAAAAAGGACATTATGATGTGCATTTTATTGTTATGCTGGCTTTAGAAATATACCTTTTTGATACCAAATTATTTTCAAATAAACATTTTCCTATTTTTATATAATATGCTAAAACATTAATGATTAAAGAATTTTGTTTTTGTTTTGCTCAAGCAGTTGTAAGTTGGAGGTTCTGGATTATCCACACTTGATCCATACATGCATGGTAGAAAATGGGGAAATGAACTTTCACAATAAAACTTTGTCAATAACTGAATAATTAAAGTTTTCATTCTTTTCAGATATGAACTCATGAAAATGTGTTGGCGAGAAGAAGGAGAAAGACCCACTATTGAAGAACTTCACAAAGATCTGCTTAACTTGCAAATCTCTCTTAAATACATGGAAGAAGTTGAGTTTGAAAAGAACTGGGGTAAAATGAGTCCTTTGAGTCCAATTAACACTGGGGATTCAAAAATAGAGTTAGAACCTGAATCAATGGAAATTGCTGCTGATGCTTTGGAAATGTTCAGTGGCGAAAATGAAGCTGCAGCCTCCAGTGAAGTTGTAGGTGACATTCCAGTACATATTCCAATTGATATACCAATTGAGGATAGCATGACTATTGCAATGCCAAGCTATGACCTGTTGACATTTAACAATAGTGATCTCGTAACAGAGATCAACACTGAAACTGAAAATCGGCTTTTGGCTGAATTAGAATCGGAGACAAATGCTGGAATGAAATGTGTTGCTATTGTGGAATTGGACCATAACTCAAAAAAACAAGCTGAAGTGAGTAACACAGAAGAGAAAGAAAGAAACGAGGAAGAAAATAAAGAACATGATGATGCTGTAGATGGTACCATTCCAATAAAGAAAATGAAAAAAGTAAGTTCAGAGGATTCAAATGATGGGTGTGATTCTTCCCCATCTCAAATATCATCTGTTGAATCTGTGAGGGCCATTCTAGAGAAAATCCAAGAATTGTCACCTATTAAAAAACCAGATGATGATGACAGTGGTGATGAAATGTCACCTGAATTATCGCAAGAGATGGCAGATATTTATTATCAAAGACACTGTCGTTCGAGTGGATCGCGGCGTTCTAATCTGAAAGTTACCCCCTTGGCACCTATCCCTGAAAATAGTGTGCCAGTGGATAACTTCTCAGACAATTACGACGGGAGCTACACTCGGCCACTTGAAGAACCCACATCTATTCAGGATTCCTATGAATGGGATGAACTAGTAGGAGGTCAACTGATAGGTAAAACAACTGAAGGGACACCATCACCTCGAAGAAGTTTGGACTTTAGTGAATGGTCTGTAGACTCTATGCCTGTTTCCCAAAGTAAACCGCCTAGTCTTTGCAGCCGTTCCAGGCAAAGTAGCATTTCGAGTGAGTTTTCTGACATTTTCGGAGCTTCGGAGTTCAACTTTGGATCTGATAGTTCACCGTCAGCCTCAGGCACAGGCTTAAATGCTTATTCCATTGCTTCTGAAATTTTGACCAGTCGAGTGATTAAATCACTCAATAAAAAAAACCCTCCACGCCGGACATTTTACTCTATTTCCTCATTATCTGATGTAGATTTGGACAATCTTGAAGACAGTGATGAATCACCTCCCCATGAGACACCACTTTCCAGTCATTCAAAATATTCAACTAGCCAAGATCTTACTACAATTGGCAAATTGGGGGTAATTACTTCACTGTTTTATTTAAATGTTTTTCTCATAATTGCTTTCTGTCTGATTACACTGGTAAACTCTCTATTACAATTTCTTTATAAAAGAAATGGATTCTTGACAGAAATTATTTATGTAAAAATTCTGACTTCCAAGAAAATAATAAATTTATATTTCTATATTAGCTTGTTCCACATCTGGTAGGCTTGATTAAACAATGCACTTATAGCCTGGTCTTTTTTGCATTGTTAATTATATAAAAATGACATCAAATTTTAGAAATTAGTTATGATCTAGGTCAAATAAGAACAAGAAGATTGTTCTTTCAAGTAAAGAAAGGACTTTTTTTTATGTACAGAGTTTCTTCAGGGTGTGAGTGATCATGGCTTTCCACAGTTTCCTGTTTCTTGTAGCTCTAAGTAACATTTAAATCTTTGTCATCCCTCTTCATCTGAATGGATGGCAAAATGGAGAAAAACTTGTTAGGTATTTTACTCTGCTGTTTCTCTCTGCTCCCTCCAACCTTCAATATGTCCAGTAATTTTTAAATTCTTAAAACTCCTCTTACCTTGTTATGTTTCCCAGAAATTTCTTCAACTGTCTCATTCTGATTTCAAGTATGAGTCCTTTTAATTCCTATTTTCTTTAAAACTTCTTTTTTACTCACATGTTCAGTCTATGATATTCTCAGCATCGGTCCATAGAACATCTATTTTGATTTGAGTATCTTCTTCATCTGTAAGGAAATTGTCCAGCATTCACTACTGCATTGAAGAATAGTTATAACATAGCAGTTCAGTACTTTTTTTCTTTGTTTCTAACAAAATATTCCTATCTCTTTCAGTTTCTGAAATATGTTTTTCACTCTTCTAATGGACCTTCAAATATGTGGCACATTTTCTGTTGTCTGTACCTTCATTTTGACATCTCCAATTCTGAGCCCACACTGTAGGCTGTCTTTCATACTGATGAACATACATTGTCTTCTTACAGCTAGTCTTTCTCCTTGCTTTCCTTTACTACCTTGTTTAGGAGTTATTGCAGTTTTCCTTCTGAGTCTGCCATCAACACTGTCATTTGCATATATTAAGATTATGCGCACTGATGATAAATCCTGGTAGGTTCTCTTCAGATTGTCTTGCTGTATAAGTTAAATAAATCTGATGCTATTTTTTTGCCTGAGCTGAAACAATAGCCTTTAATACCAGTGAAGATGTACAAAACTATTTCAATCATGAGCTAAACCCCCATTTAAGTTTAGTATTTATTGAATTTGCATGATCTCTGAAATAATGTGCTGACCTAGTTTTTTTTTTTTTATGAGACCTTATGATTGTTCTGGACATGAAAGTACCCATCTTTATTTTTCTTTGTAAGAATTCCTCTGACAATATTCTAGTAACATATAAATTGGTATGTATATTGAAATGTGACTTAATATGAAGATTTCAAGTGAAATAATATTTTTTGACATGTATGAGGTTAATTTTCTAAATGAGACAATTTAGCAGTAGTGACTCCATAATGTAAAATGATCATAAAAGTTTTTTTCTGTTTTAGCAAAACAATGATTTTACAATTTGATTTAGCTTTGGCACATATGTACGTAAGAGTAACATAAGTTCAAATATAAATTTTCAAATAGCATTTTGGTTAAATATCTACTGAAAATTAACAAAAAAAATAACCATATGTATGTCTGAAATAGAATTATAAATAACTTGCCTTCAAAGAGACAGTTTAAAATGTCCATAAATATCCATTATATTGTTGCAGAATCAGAACCTGTGTAGTTATGATAATGGTAGCAAAACAGGATGTGACTATTATTGCCAACTAAACGTCTAGATCTGATAGAAGAACTATATTAGTCCACAAAGTCTTGCATGTCATGCGAGGACCCAATAATGAAAAAAATCCAAACGTCATCTGGAGTGTAACGAGAAAGAAATGAGAACCCTAATCTATTTAATCTCTTCCTGGACTATGCTCTATGGATATACACACAGATGTGATTAGCTCTTATCACTTAAACATTCCCTATCATATCCCAAATGAATCTACTAATAGAAAACAGCATTTCTGCTTCCCTTCCCAAGACCAATGTACAGAGGATGAGGTAGGCTATGCTGATGACATGGGTATTCATATTTGGGATAAGAACGATCTTGAACAAAAAATCAGCATCTTTTATCAAGTGTTCCAAGAAGTAGGACTGAAGATAAACATTTCAAGACAGAAATTATGATTTGGAATTGAAATAAAAGCAGTGATAGGGCATACTCTGAATCCATAATGAAATTCAGGATGTGGAATTAGTAAATACTAAACACTTTAAATACCTAGCTGTATAGATCAATTACAACAAATTTAGTATAGGATAAAAGGAAACTGAACATATAATACCCCCACTCTTTACCCACCATCAATACTAGATAGACTAATAACAGCTATGGAACTTGAGAAACCTATTTTCCTGAAAAATTATTTTAAGAGAAGGATTTTGTAAATTTCAACTGACAGCAGCACTGATTCAATGAATGCTAAATGTTTCCATGTAAAGAAATGGCTAATATTACCGTAACCAAACATATGACTTGCAATGATTTCTGATTTCTTGCTTTCCTGTCAACTATTATCTTAAAAAAATTTAAATGCAACATTGTTTTCCTGAATTCTGTTCTTTTTATTGTCTTTAATCCTCATTAACATTTTATCATTTTCATTCACTCTCAGTAACGTCTTGCATCTTAGTGACATTATTGCCTTGTGTTAGGTGAAATGACAAACCCTCTGATTGGGAGATGAGAGGTTTTGAGGGGTGTGGAACTATCTCTTAATTGCTGTTGTTCTTAGGTCCACTCTGATCTGAGGTGGTAACACTTGTTAAGGTCCCAGCTATGATAAGTAAAAACAAAACATTATGAAAGTATAAAAATACCTATTAAAAGTAAAATTACCAACAATACATCAATCAACATAAAAGTACTCTTTCATAGTATTAATTCATATAATATCCTACAATTTCTTAAAGAAATCAAACTGTATTCCAAAATGTAACTTTAACAAAATACAACATAAAACACATATTACTGCCTCTAGTAATTATGTTCCCACAAACATGTATATGCACAAAACAATGAATATCAACTCTCATGTATTCAATTGTAAAAGCAAAGTAACATATATTTATTACTTCAAAGCTCCCCACCAAAAAATTAAATTTCAGTATTAAATGACCCATAAGGAGTTGATGTGCTGTTAAACAAATAAACACACACATGCACACACACACACATATATATATATATATATATTAGACCATGGCTTGGTGTCTACTTTTATATTTACATATGGTCTATCTCTGATATTGAGCACTTTTACTCATAAATATAGCATACCTTGAAACTATATACTTTTATCATATATATATATATATATATATATATATATATATATATATATATATATCTGTCTGTAGTCTTAAAAAATAGTCATTTGTTTATCTAAATGATAAAAATGAATTGTAAGCATAATTGTAGATAAACAGCATTCAAATATTGATCCAGATATTAATAATATTACTTGAAAGTAACTTTCATGCTTTTAATTCTAAAATGTGCTTGTGTTGCATGTGTGTCAATTTGGTCAGTTTGTATATGTTACCAGTTGTTTACTTTTTCTTTTTCCTTTTATAGGATTACCCTGAATCATCATCATCATTAGCAGCAGCATCACATCAAGAAAGATTTTATAATGATCTTCTGGAAAGACTTTCATCCACAGAATCTTACCATTTGCCTTTATATGATGAACCAGAAGAAGACAGTTGACATTTAGAAGGTTGGTATTAACCAGATAAACTATAATTTTTAAAGACTATCATAAATTACAAAATGTAATAAAGAAGAAAGTTTAGGCTCGTAATGAAGCATTTTTTTCTGGAGAGGAATAAATAATAAAAAAATAAAAAAATTCTTTTAAATGTGACAAAAGTTAAATTTATTTGTCTAGAATATCATTTTCCTTATTAGCAATGACTTTATTGAAAGTTTCTGGAGTTATGAACAAAAGCAACTTTCCATTTAAGCTAAAGTTCTACTACAGTCAGCTGAACATGATTGTTTTGTGTCTTACAAACCCTTTAAAAAAAAAAAAAAGAAGCAAGTGAAGAGTTAAATTTTATGCAAAACATGCTCTTATTTGGTTTTTATTTAGTGTAGACTTTAATTCAATCCAAGTCTACATTAAATAAGATAAATGCAGAAGATCAAATTGTTAGGTTAGAATATTTTACTATATGTTAACCAGCTTAACACTTAAGATTTCCATTTAACCAGGTTATTGAAATGCCTTGTAAAAAATAAATTATACCTGACCATCCTAATATAACATTACCATATCTGCAATATAGTAACACTTTGTTCATAAATGAAAAAGTATAAGGACATGTGGAATTGTTTAAAAGAAAAAAAAACAAAAAAACACTTGTTTAAGAATTTGCATGTGATGATAGTTTGTTGAGGCAGATAGATAAACATTAGCAGATATAAAAATAAAAAGTGAATTATGGTCTTATTTAATGTGGTTGTCATTGTACTATGATTTAGTTTTGGTCATTGATTATATATATATATATATATATATAGTTATAGAGTGAATAAATGAAATGGCCAAATATAAGCAGCCGTGTATATGTGTGCTGGTGTGCATACATAGGCAAACAAATAAATAATTGTTAAATTTATGCATGAAGTTTAAATGTAATAATGCTCAATGCGGTTATACAGAGCAAAGTATATATTAATTAGTACATATATGAGTATCTACATTTTTGGCATGTGACTATAGTTTTGCTGGGTGAGAGAGAGAGGCAGTGTGGAGTAGTGTATAGTGGCTCAGATTGAGGAATCTGAGAGCCGAGTTCAAATTCCAATCAAATCCATTAAATTCACTTATGGGAAAGGTATTAATTCTCTTCTTCTCCCTACAGCTATGAGTAAATAGCAGGACAGACTGGGTTCTATAGCCTTGGATGGCAACTAGTCTAGGAGAAAGACAAGTCTGAATTCAGAACCTGTGGAGGGTCGTTTGGGGACTTTGTGGCACGTAATGTACCAGGTCTCTGTATTCAGCCCTTCAAAAAATGTGGTTGGTTCTGCACAAAGCCTTCACCACTATAATCAAATCTCATGTGTTGGTGTTGGGCTGTTGTTTCCTAGGAAATGAGCTGCTTGAACCTCATACATCAAATACAACAGGAGAGTCCACCATATATATATATATATATATATATATATATACACACATACACTCATTAAACTGGACTATATATAGGTTGTTTACCCTGAACACTACTAACATTCTCATATCCCAATTATTTTATTTTTTTGTTACTTAATGTAACTTACCTCTCTTGATCAGAATTTTCTCTACAAAACTCTGGTCATTGTTTATTTTGTTTATTGAAACCTTTCTTAAAATAAGATTGCCTCCTTTGTTTATTACAGCATCACAAGTGAGAGAAAGTGGAAAACTGGATTACACCTGTAGTAGCACTGATGAATTAACCCCAACTTATTAGGCAACTTAATTTTTCACCTCAACAGGTTGTCTTTTGTAACCCATTTGACATGCGCACAAATTACCACTGATTCAAGGGCAGACAACAAGTTTAGTAACATTACAATTTCTTAGTGAAAGAATCTTTTAGGAGAACCATTCAGCATTACAAGGGTTGTTTTCATCCAGAATCCCAATGTTTTTCAACAAGGAATAAAAGATTTAGTTCTGAACTGGAAATTTGTCATTGCTTATAATACTGATTATTCTTTAAAAATTTAATGTCTGCTAGATTTGAACAGATTTTTCTCCCAACAGTATGACAACACTTTCCAAATAACCTAATATTTTATTCAATACTTAAATCTTTTTCTTGATCTATCATCTTACAAATTTTAATTAGATTCCAAATATATAAGGTAAAGAACTATTTTCTTCTTTAAAGGGTCAGGCTATTTACAATTTCTAGTGTTAATTAAATGTACATTGTTATTTAATATGTATCAACATGACTAAAATTGATATTTTTTCAAACATTTTTTATTTTTTAGATGTGGTTCCTTGATGATAAAAAAGCAGCCCTTCTTGATGAAAAAACCTAATATGTGCAGCAGATATTGATGTAGCCTATCATTTTGACAATCATGTTTCGTTGCTTTTTCTTTCTTTTAATTATTAAGCAGTATCTTAAAAACAAAGATATTTGGGCTCAACCCCGTAAAATATTATGCCCATGCCTCTTTGTAATGTTGCTGTCAGACATTTTGTAGTAGGGAGAAAAAGTGTGTTGTGTGAGTGGGGTGTTATTAAATAATGAGACTAGTCTTATGTAAGTTCTGCCACATCAAGCATGTACAAGCCATGGAATTAATGGGGCTAATGCTGTAATTCAGTTTTTATGAAGAAAAAGACTTGGTAGCCATTTTTTTTGGTTTCACTAAAAATTTCAAATTGATGGTTTGCTCAATTTAAATTAACCATTTTATGATGCAGAAAAACATACCCATTTCAGTTGATGTATAACAGTGAACTGAGATATGAGCAGACTTAAACTTTCAAAGGTTGCCCATGGGTCATTGTACATCACATGGTTTGTACATGTTCATTCAACTTGCATGTTTGTACATGTGAATTGACTTACATATGCCCAGTCTAGTTATTTGATACCACACTTTGTATGTGTTTAATAGAGGATACAGAATCTTTGTGATCTCATTGTATAATTTTTATCTGTCAATGTCATTTTATATTTCTTTCATTTTATTTAATATATATATATATATATATATATATTTTTAGTTCAAGAGGCTAGTGTTTTCCCCTCAATATTTTATCTTTCATTGTGATACCTAATTAATACCATATGAACATGTTTTGTGTATTGGATGTGTGGTATTGTCTAGAATTTTTTGGGATGGATGTCTTTTTTTTTTTTTTTTTTTTTTTTCTTTCAATCTCTACATGCTTTTTATTTTCTGGATTTAATATATATATATATATATATATATATATATATATATATATATAAAATCACATCCCACCTTAAAAAGAACCCGTAATTCCTTTTATCTTTTAAATGTCTTCAAAAAAAAAGAATGGTTTCTTTATATTTCTCTTCCTTAACTGTCATCTCCATTCAGCATATAGGCAGTTATGATTTTTTACAGGTTTTTTTTTTTTTTTTTTTTTTAAACATCTGCAAACTGCATTGTTATTATTGTGGAGTTTTCTCCACAGTTAAATTCCTATGGTTGCCAACCAAGAATGGAGACCCAAGTCTCCTCTGTTTGTTTAATCCATAGCTGGAGCTGAAGGGTGGGGTGGGGGTGATATGAATTTGTTCCTTTCCCAAGGGCATTAGCGTATCTTGGGTAAGATGATAAACTACATCCGACAGCAAGGCCTCTGAACAGGAGGCTTTGAGGAGCATGGAACCATCTCTTAATTGCCATTGTTCCCAGGTCCACCCTGACCCGGGGTGGTAGCACCTGTCAGGGTCCTAGCTATGGGCAAATAGTTAACACCCCCTCCCAAAGGAATCAAAATACTATGAAAGTATAAAAATAGGTTTTAATGCCAGCAATACTTTGTTGGAAAAATTATTCCAAGCAGTACATTTTTTAAAAGAAAAATTACTACCAGCTATACATTTAAAAAAAAAAAAAAAAAAATACCAGCAATACATATTACCCGCAATAAAAATCTTATCAGCATTAAATAACCCATTGAGGTTGATATGCTGTAAAACAAACCAAACCAAAACCCAAGGGCATTAGCACATAGTGAACACAAATTGCTTCAGCTGAAATTTGAACCATGCCAATTCCATTTTCTGTGCTGTTATCCATTAATCTATAGTTTTTAAATGGATTTTCTTTAATCCTACACTACTTATTACTGTATTAATATACCCATTAATCAATCCACATTTTCATTTATTTCAACTTCTCCTTAAGTCTATTATGAATCACCTATCCATACTGTACCAATTATTAATCTGATCTGATTATGAAAGTAAACTATTATTTCATGATAACTGCAAACACATATTTGTCATTTTCATCACCTTGATAAAAACTCACTAGAAGAATAGGGAGGGGTGCTGAAGTTTTTGACTCAACTTCCTAAACTCTAACCAAACAGATTTTTTTTAACATAAGGCTTCTTGGTTAAGCAAAGTAAGTCTCATCAGATCCATGTGTGTGATTGATTTGATTTCACACACACACACACACACACGTGTGTGTGTGTATCAAATCAATCTTCAAACTTGGTCTGAAGATCGCAATTAGACAGGGAAACCAACAATCACCATGCAGTGCTAAATCCTATGTCTATACTGTATTTATAAATGCTCTTATATTAAGCAACCTTTTTTCTTTTTTTTATAAATATAGCAAATTATTTACACACATGAATTAAAAACTATGTATTAAATCTAACAGAATGATTAAATAAGAAATGAATAAGAAAAATTTATAAATTTGACATTTTGCTATTTTTATTTTAGAATTCAAAATACCAAAACATTCTGTGTTTCCCTCTTTCCAAAAAGTTTCTGAACCTAAAATAAATATAGTAAAATTTATGAAAGTTTCTTATTTGTTCCTTATTCAATCATGTATATATAAAAAGTAAAAATATTTAATTTGAAGAATTATTAGATTTTCATTGTAATCTTTCAGTGAGGAAACTAAAATTATCAAGTGAAAAATATTTTCACATACAAGTTCTTTGATAGTTGCTTTTTGTGTGTGTGTGTGTGTGTGTG